GCACTTTCACGACGAACGGTGCGGTCTGGTCGGCGACGGCGGACTCGACACCATGAAGTGCATCATCACGCGCCGTCACGTGACCGTCGGTAGTCAACACTATACTGGAATGGACGAGGGCGGCCCGGTAATGGACATCTCATGTCGTAACGTTCTCTTTTTTTTTCGCACTTGCGCCCGTTGTGGTAGGCACGGTGACGACCTTGGTGCGAGGTCACCGCGTCACTATGATGGGCTGGGCGAGTGCACGTCGCGATGGGCGGCCGGCGATAGCATCCCGAATATTTCATTGGTCGGTGTGTGTGTGCGCGCGCGCACGCGCTCCCGCATGCATGTGTGTGTGTGCATGTGTGTGTGTACCGGATGTCTCATAAAAGACACAGGTGAGGGCGGGTTTGCCTACCCACTCTACCCGTCGGGCGCCCTAGCTCCTTGGGTAGGCAAACCCGCCCACACCTGTGTCTTTTATGAAACACCCGGTATAATGGGCGGAGGGGTACAATGTGTGCACGTGTCGAGAACATTAAGTATAATTGTGCCGACGAGAACCACGCGGGGGGAAATTATGCAAAGATTGCCGGATGGCGTGGCCGTAGTATGAGGTCCTGGGTGAGGTCGGTCCGGGTCGCGCCGGACAAAGCTCCGTGACCAGTCGATAGGCTTTATAATACATGACGCCATGTTGCTGCTGCTGCTACTACTACTACTACTACTGAGTGTCTTATGGCCAAGGTCGAGGCATCTAGTTTATTTGGGCGGCGGCGGCTCGGCGCACAACGCTTCTCCTGGAGGAGGAGCAGGAAGAGGAGCAGCAGGTAAACGCCGTGTGAGAGGGAGCGAGAGAGACGGCCGTGCTCGTTACGCGCTGAGAGACTCTCCAGCTGAGACTCGAGAGACGACGCGACGACGTCACGGCGTCGCGGCGTCGCACGGTTTCCAGGTTTTGTGTCTGTGCTTCCCCGGTCCTGCTCTTGAACTATAAATTTTCAACAAAAAAAATCGCTCTTGCACAACGTTACACTAATTTCGACAGTGAACCAACTTTTGTGTGCAGTGCCGCACCTGCGTCAAGGTGCGATGTGCGGCATTTGAGGCGTTATCTCCAGACTGATAAGAGTTGCGCAAAAACACTTCAGCAGCGGCCTCATTCATCTCTCTTCCACAAAGTCGATGATGGGGTGTCAACCAGGACAGCCCTTTCGGCCCTTTCGCTGAGCCGAAGGGGCTTAACTCGGTTGATTGTAATCAATACCCTCCCAAGGTTGATTCCTTCGGCCTGTCCGTCCGAGGAGCGCGTGGAGCTGCCAGTTTCGTTATGTCCAGCCCCGCCCCCGAGCCCGCCCGCCCTCGGCCGCCCCGCCCCTCTGCGTGACTGGCGCCGTCACCACCACGACGCGACCGCCAGGTTGGCCCAGGCCGCGGGGTGCGTGGACGCGGGGGGCGGACGACGGCGGCGACTGGACTGGACGGCTGTGATGATGACAACCTTCACGAATCCAGACGACAGACACAACAATGGGACGAAAATTATGGTGGTCCGCTAAGTTGGGATGACCGCCACTAAATGCCCGCCGCTCTGCTTCCTTCAGCAGCGGGCGAAATCGGGGGATTGATAATAGAGACGAACGTTCGTAAACGGCAAAGAACGGCGAGGGGCAGGCAGGACACGCACTGAGACCCAATTTCACCAACTTCTGGCTAACGTGACGTTACCCGACCGACGGTTAGCTTAACCGAGAGTAGCTGACGGCCCGTTGAGCCAAATGTCTTTCACCAGGCCGTGACCGCCGTTAGCTGGCCCTCGGTTACAAAACGGTACAGCGTTGCCATTTTCTGTAGAATCCAGTAGGCACTGCATGCTCCCCGTAGGAACGCACGATGCCGTGATCGCAACTTCGCGCGCTTTTCGTTCATTGTTTTGTAGTTGTTGAGGTAGGCGAGGATTCTGTAATTAAATAATTAAACATGGAAGATGATAAGAAGAAACGTGCACCAAACTTTTTACCGTCAGAAAAGGTGATCCTGGCCGACTTGTTGAAGGTTTATGGAAGCGCCATTGAGTGTAAAGTTAGCAATGCTCAAACTCGCAAAGAGAAGGAGGCGGCTTGGGCCTCCCTTTGCGAAGATTTCAATCTTAAATCCAACTTCTTTTACCGTGACGTGTCCCAACTCAAGTATCTATGGGACAACATGAAAAAGGCCGCTCGGAAAGCAGTAGCTAATGACCGCAAAGAGAGGAATGCAACAGGTAAGTAATGTTTGTTGGTGGTCAAGTGGTAGGTTAGGGTTCCCTGAAGTGTTCTCATTCATTGCTGATTTATCAGGAGGTGGAGTACCCAACCCGTCCACTGCGCCCACGCATCTGGATGAGGCCGTTGTTGCCGTAATCGGGGTCAGTGCGACCGGCCTCGAAAGCGATGTGGATGGGGATGTCTCCAATGTAAGTGTGCTGCATTATCATACAACAGACATCTGAACACTTGTAATGTTCCACTGTGATCATTATTGATAATTTATCTCTGATTAGGGCTTGATGATGCTCGCACCGGATATGCAATATGAAATCATTGCTGCTGAGGCTGTTGCGGATGATGTCAACGTCAACATCGATGCAGACCTCAGCAATCAGCAGCAGCAACAGCAGGTACAGCAGGTGCCTGATAATATTGCCAATTGGCATGATTTTAAAGCACCGATGCTTTTCATGCCTAAGCCACCTGCTTTGAAGGTTGGAGGTTCTCCCTCGACCTCATCGGATCAACCGTCCTCCAGCTCCCAGACCTCTAGTTGTGCTGGGCCATCCCAAAAGCGCAGCATCGCAGAGGAAACTGAGTACGTCAAGCAGATGAAGAGGAGGCGGCCCAAGCTAGAGGCTGACAAGCAGCATGAGCTGGTCAAAGCCAGGCTTGAGCTCACCAGTGCCACTAAAGAGAGCCTTGATGAATCAAAGAAGAGGCAGGACGAGCTGCATCTATTGCAGAAAAATAAAGTGGAGATGGAAACAAATGCGCAGAAGGAAATATTTGAATTGGAAAAAAAG